CAATTTGTGCTTACGGGTCATATTATGTGAATGTTAGAAGTCCTGTTACTAAAGTTAATAAGCTTAAGTTTATTTATTACCTAAACTGTGTCTAACTTTATCAATCCTGTAATACGAGACCATCACAACACTCCCGGAAAACAAATTCACAAAATCTTCTGATTTACATCAGCTTTTGCCACTCGAACATAATCAAACACAATATTTCTTGGGTCTTTACGTCAAATGCTAAAGATAGTGACTGGAAACACCTCGTTGACAAACTATCCAAAGGTTCGAGATTAATAAGATGAAAAATAAAACTGCATAAATCCCGTGGACATGAATTGGGCGAATCTTGATGATGAACGCAGCGGTGCATGCGTATGCGTATCGCCCCTCGGCCTCGGCGCTAGCGGTCCGGTGCAGCGCTGGCGCCGGATGGGTTGCCTAACCCCAACGGCGCTCGACGAGGCTACGGCGCCAATCCAGACCAGCTCCAGACAACTCACTTGCACCTCGCACTGAGCGCTCTGCTAGGATGGTGATCGGAGAGCTCTCCAGATTTTACGACTTGGGGGCCGATCTCGGATAAAGTCACCAAAATTTTCGTGTTTTATTTTCAAAAAGTTAAACAAAACACGAAACTTTTGCGGATCTTATCAGAGATTGGCACCGGAAGTCGAAATATCCGGGGGGCTCTCCGATCACCTTTCCGCCCGAAATCGACAAAAAATGGTATCATGGAGGCGGGAGGTATCCTTCCCCGTACTTCTCGCACGCTAAGCGAGCGCTCTACCATCTAAGCTACGCCCCTTGGATAGTATGTCCGAAATGTTCTGGAAAGTCATTCGGCCGCACGCCCGCCGAAATTAGGGCAGTCGTCAATTGCTCCCCCCCCTCCCTCCCGCTCGAGGGGTGGGCGACTTGAATTTTTCGTGTACACAGGAGTACGGAGTACACGGAGTACAGTCGGAGAACACTGAGTATTGCCGGTCGGAGCGCGCAGAGTACACCTGGAGTACACCAGTACAGTCGGAGTACCCGGAGAACTTGCGACAAAAACAGCGCCGGAGTACACGGAGTACAATCGGAGAACACCTGGAGTACATTTTGGCCTGTGCACAGGAGCCGCCCAGTCGTCCACCCCTCGCTCCCGCTGCTCACGGCTACTCGCAGCGACCCATTGGCCATTTCCGATGGGACGGCGACAGCATCGCTGTATTAGCAGAGGAGCAAGTGAAGGGATTGGCAGGCGGCACACCGAGGGGGCAAGAACTCCGGGAATCATTGTACACCTGACGGGGCATCATCAGGATGAAATTTGATCGAAACCAACAAAAATCGCTTAAAATAAGCGCGGAACCAGTGGAACTGGTACAAATTAGTAGAAATAAGCGTTTTCTAACAGTAGAAAACCTGAATAATAAATACAGGCGGATGGGTCTGGGAATGCAAATTTTGACGAGAAGATTGTTAGACTCGTCAATAATCCATCAAATTTGCACAATAGTCAACGAATTTCGGATATGAGAAGCCAGTTGACAAGTCCGTGTGTGTGCTCGCCAGCCACCGGCCCGGGTGCGGTACAAAGCAGTACCTTCTTTTAGCGGGCCCGACAGGCTGAATAGAATGAGTGTTGCCAGCGGCTTGGCTCTCGGTACCCGAAAAGATGAAGGGTATGTCCTTCTGTGACCGCGGGGGCGACCGACGGATTCCACCCCGCTTTGTCGCTAGAAGGGCGTCAACTTAGGGGATGGTTTTGAGCAAATTCACACATTTTTGGCTGCTGCGCGAAAAGGAAAAGTCCTACCGCGTTCCAATTTTGATCACAGTTGCATTACATGACCCACTAAGCTGCTGTAAAGGAGATTTGCCACCACTCCCCCCTGAGGGGCGTGTCACAGGGGTGGTCACCCCTACCCTGAGGGCAGTTTTTGAAAATCGCCGCGTTTACCACCGAGGACTTTCTCAGTGCGTCCTACACATTCTCAACTGAAGTTGCCAGACTTTTCCAGGTTCCTTAGTGTGAAACATGTGGAAATTTCAGTTATGGGTTGGACAGTTAGGGGTAGGCAGGGGATGCGAAAGTGATACAGGCACTTTGCTATCGTCTCCCGCGTCAAACCACAAGATTTCCAGTGGCGTTCGAGATTTCAAAAAAAAAAACACCACTTTGAGGGGGTAGCGGTAACTGGGGGTAGGGGACGATTTGTCGGAGGGGGTGGAACGGGCTAAAAACCTTCAAATTGGTTCCTAGGACACCCGTACACCAAATTTCAGCCACTTCCAGCACCTACTTCTACCCTAACCTTTCACGTTTTTTACTCGTTCTTTACCATCCCACTTCACCTTCGTGGTGGTAGGAAGAACGAGTATTGTTCTCAGTGCGGTGTCACGCTTTTCCTGTTCCTGTTTTCATCTCAGAACACACAACACATACAGACATGACAATAGTACCACTGTAGAGCGGGGACGCTGGTCTCAATTACAGCAATGAACCTTTTTTCAGGTTTAATAGCATAATTTTGAGCACTCTTAACAAATTTTGCGTGTTTTCATTCTAAGTCCCAGACCAGAGCTTATTTGAGCATGTTGAAAAACGTAGTGCTAAGCAACGAAAATATATCATGCATGCATCTTTGAACTTATGAGATGTTAATGAAACTGTTTTATTAATATGTTTTGAGTCGCTACCGAAGCATTTTAACGAGTTTACTTAATAGATTCCTCCTAAAAAATTGCAAGTCCCGTGACGGTGGAGGAGTACGTGAGGTTATGGCGGCGCCATTCGTGCTGCCACCTGTGGACGGACATAGTAACTACTTCACAGTGAGCGCGCGGGCGTTTAAAATGTACCTTTTATCGTCACACCATTACTCTGAGGTAAAAGCACGAACTGATTTTGAAGAACTACCCTGGTTTGGTTAAAGAACGAGTTTCCTACTTAGCACAAAATTCATTTTGTGTTCATAGTTTCCCTTGTTTCCACTTTCCCACCCCCGTGATCATTAGGGGATGCGTACTGCGTAAGGAGTGTCGCACGACATTCGCGCTCTAGGATGTTAAACTACACACATGGAAGCATGTCTATGTCAAATCTCGACTTCCTAGGTGTTACGGGAGACAATTTAATCCAGGCGTAAAAAAGTGGACCGCTAAATGTTTTGACGGGTGTATTTAGAAGAAATGTACACCTTTAAAGTACTCGTCTTCTTAATATCGTAAAGCACAAGGTAAACTTAAGAACGACGGAAAAAAAAACTTCAAACTGTGCATTACTTTTTAGAGCATTAGAACAAATGATCAATGAAAAACGGTCTGTAAAACGACCGGAAGGGTAAACGTTTGCTCTACAACCACCATCACATTCAAGATGTAGGTCCCCCTAGAGTGGAGATGTGTTGCACGTCTGGCAGACCACTTGGACGTGAGAGGCCAAGGAGCTTCCGATGGTCCGACACTGCAGCAGGCATCCCGCGACCTGGTCTGCGCATAGGTCGTCTGCAGGGCGTTCAAGGACAAGCCGCCGCAAGGCTCGCAAGCCACATGCCGCCAGTTCTTCGGCCAGGTCGGGGTAGTAAAATGATTGTTTTCTATCACTGACGGTACAGTATATGCAGAGGTGCTGCACTGATGAGGCGAAGGCGCGGATCAGCGACATCATTGTGTCCTTGTGGCGAGTATTGAGGGCCACGCTAAGCCACCTCAGGGCTCCGTGCTGCGAGGGGGCGAAGGTCAAATTTGGACCTTGATAATCGTTTACCTCCAGGCTGCGCAGCCTAGACATCCGCTCCAGACATCGCATTTGATTTTCTTT